TCACAAATTTGTCCTTTTTATTTCAATTCTCTACTCAATTAACCTGAAACGTGCTAGTATATATACAAAGGCAGCTTACCAGCAAGAGGACCATTCATGACTAAATTCGCAGCAATTTGATCCTCATCAAGGGAAACGACACTGAAGTTGGAAACAGAGGCAGCAATTTTACTCTTGTCGAATTTGCAAGGACCACCGTCAGTCCCAGTGTAAGGATAGTCCTCTTCTTTCACCAGTCCACCAACCTTTAGTGTGTACTCAAAAGCAGTGGTCATTAGCCCACCGTTACACCCTGAGTCACAAGCACCATACTCTTCTGGATCACACTGCAAAATTTCACATTCTTATCCAAGTTAAAGCTACTTCAATCAATACAGGCTTCATAAAATGGTTGTTTTCGGTTTTAAATTTTGATTTTCATAAATTTCGTAACTTCTAAACATAAAAATTCAAAATAAAAAATTAACAATTTGTGTAAGATAAGTCTGAACATTTACAAAAACAAAATATAAACTTTTTCCAATAGTATTAAAATTATTTTCTTTTTATTTTTCTAATAATTATAATATATTATAAAACACATAAAAGTTTTCTAAATTTTTATTTAAAATTGCAAAATTTATAAAATTTAAAACCAAAAACTACCACCATGGCGCCTAAATCAATTAGAAAGTTAATTAAAGGAACAATTATTTCGTCAAAGAGTTGTTTCAACTAATATGAACTTGACACTCGTCGGAGGTAGACAAGGAAATATACCTCGTGATCACAATCAACAAGCTGCTGCTCACTCAGCCTCACAAGCTCTCCTGTGGCCAAGTAATGAGCTCCCTCCAAAGCTCCAGTCGCACTAAACGACCAGCACGACCCACAAGCACCCTATACTTACAATAAATGAATGAATGAAATCATATATATATAAACTTCATGTGTTGGATAGAAATTTATAGGCATATCAGTATATGCATATATTATATTACCTGGTCTTTAACGGCGGTGACGGCCCCCTGATCGCGCCAATCGAAATCTGTGGGAAGGTTGTTGGTGGGGAGAATTGGAGCCTTATGAGCATCGACAGGGAGACGGAGCTTTTGCAAGCCGAGGAATTGACGGTGGAATTCTGATGGCGTTAAATCGGAGAACTTAGTGACGCCGTGGACAGCGTTTGGGTCAAGGAGCTGATGGCGCTTGGCTCGTCGGAGGTTAGCCTTGAAGATACTGAACCTGAAATCGTGCTCCTCCTGCGAGGTGTATGTCTTTCCGTACTTTGATTTGAAGAGAGTAAAGTGGTGCTCCGTGTTGAGCAGGTGGTCCTCGGCGTCCGATACGACTTGGCGGATCAAAGGGTCCTCATCGAAAGACTCGGTGGAGGCGATCGCCGAGGAAAGGAGCGACGTGAGGAGGAGCAGAGACAGAAGATAGGAGTGGTCCATTATGGAAGGAAAAGTGACAACAACGGAGAAACCATGCGAGGAATATATTTGCCCGAAAAATGTAGGCGGGCAAATAGGTTAGCGACACGTGTTTTCTTGTCATTTGCTATTCATAGGAGATTTTTTGTTTGTCCTAATTAGAAGTGAGGAGAGAATTTTTTATTTATCACTTTTCCTTATCTTCTTGTTTTCGGATAGTGACGCTTCTGCAGTTCTGCGGTTCAGCTTTGTTATATTTAAAGATTTTTTTTTTTTTTTATAATTTTTAAAGTATGCTTACCCAATAATTCGTAATAAAGTATTGACATAAGATTTAAATTTTATACATTTAAAATTCATTAGCTATAGTGATTTAAGAGCAACAATTAATTATTTTATTTAAACGGTTAGATATAATTATTTGTTTAATTTATTTATTTTAAAACTGTTATAAATTAAATATTTGTTGTTTGGAACTAATTGATAATGATTAAAATTTAAATTGTTAGTAGGTTAAAAAAAGTAATTTAAGATATTTTTTTTATACTAGACCGTCAATTAATTAGAATTTTTTTAATTTCATTAATAAGTTTATTCATTTTTATTTTTTATTTTTTTACCACTATTTTTAATTATACTATTTAATTAATTTTAAATTTATTTTTTTCTTTAATAACATTAAGTTATTATTTTTTTTTATTTATGAACTAATTGATAATGATTAAAATTTAAATTGTT